ATTGTATTTCAACTGCAGCAAATTAACCATTAATCTCCATTAGTAAAAGATAAAAGAAAATGAGTATAGTAGGTCGGTCGCTGACCAATTCATAAAATATTTTACTCATTCAACCGTTACATTAACTACAAGTGCATAATAAAAATTATATATGGAATTGCACCATATATAGATGTGTGGGTATAAGTAAATAAATGCATTTATTAAATAAAATATCAAAAATTTATTTCTTTTCTTATATTTTTATTGTGCTTTATTATATTTTAGTGAAAAATTTTTTTGAATTAATTTGGCATTTACATCTAGTTTTAATTCAAGACTATTACGGTTTTGCATTTTGCTCTCACTTTCTTTGTTGGAAATTACGGTTTTGCATTTATATATGGAATCGTGTTATTTTCAATGCAAATAATATTCTTCAAATTATTTTTCTTTACGTGAATAGGTAGATACTATTGAACAATTTTCTTTCTTTAAAAATTTCTTTATATGTAATTCTAATTAAATTTATTAATAATTACTTAAAAATTCAACTTGAAAGGGGATGTACTCTAAATTTTACCAAAAAAATTAAAATTTCTTATGAAAAACATGACGTGTTCGAATAAATTTTGAAATTTTCCGAAATTACTAGACTAAATATTAAATATTTTATATTATACAGCAAATAATATCCAAAATTACCGAAATTATGACGCTCTTAATTTATCAGTTAATAGAGAAATTAACACACTCAGCATAGACTTATAGTATTAACACTTGTGAATTTTTTAAGAACAATTCCAAAATATTCAAGCATAGATATAATGGTCAACTGCTGTCCGATTTAAATCATTTGATTTTCACAAAAATACGAATAATTGTTCTTAATTTTTCTCCTCAAATTTAACATTTTTGCACATTTTTCCTAAAAGCAGGAGAGCGCTAAAAATATATTAAAATATTTTTCGAAAACTTTATAAATTATAAAATTTGATATAAATAAAACACCAAAACAGCAGAAAAAAAATTTATTTAGAGCTACATTATAACGGAAAATCAGTATCAGCGACGAGAAATTAAAAATCTTCAATCCCAACTGTGCAGAACCCGAGACCCTTCGGTTAAAAAGATCGGTGTCATAACCACTGTACCAATGGTCATTTATAAAAACTTGTCGCATTTATAAAAACTTAGAAAAGCTTGCAGCTTCGGGTATATAAAGGACCAAAAATTCAAATTTTACCAATTTCGAGAGGCGATGGCTCAAGAGAATAAACTTCTTATTGGTGCTTAAATGCTGTGAAAATTTCAGGCTTTCATAATCTGTGGTCTAGAAGTAAAACGATTTCAAAAATTTGAAAAAAAAAACGAATTTCAGATAACGATAAATTTTAACGGCCATTTTGTTTTTGTAAAGTTCAAATGCATTTATTTATATGCAGCAAAAATTTGGTACCTTTTTTGCACAGGCTGTAGCTCGAAAACAAGTATATCTGCAACCCGCCAACCCCCTCATTTAATTTTTTGCTGGAAATTAATCAAAGAATCATTCTGAAATTATTTGTCGCCTAATGCGAAACACCATGTATTTTTGAAACACGTTACCGCTACTTTTATATTTTACAAGAGACAACCAAGAAAATGCAAAACCGGTCAGATCACTACAAAAAATTATATTCAATATTATAGCTTAATATAATAATACTTAAAAAATAAAAAAATTAGAATACAAGCAATTTTCATATTCGATACTCGTATTAAAGTAAGTAAAATAAATATCAATAAGCTTAAATATTAAATATAAAGAAAAAAATCTACCTAGATAAAAAAACCAAGTTAAAACTATATGGCGCAATGAAACTGTGGCATGACTTAATAGCATCATGCACTAGCTGTATGCTTCTTCTAGGCGGGAGGAAGGAAAGAAAATGCAGAGAGCTAAAGGTAAATTCCAGGTTATTTAAAAATATAATTATTTTTCTTAACTCCGGGAATTAACCCTTAAATTCGAGCATTATGTTAACACTTGTTTAAATTTTGTTTTTGTTTTATTTCAAAGATTGCATTGCTCATCCTCAATGTATGCAATTTTTTAAATATATTCTTACATGAATGAAATTTATTAATGTTACATAGGTAGTTAGATTGCTTTTTAAAGCAGTATTGTCGCTTGTTAAAGGGAAAAGTTCCCGCTTATTAATCAAATTTGTACCCTCAAAAACAAAAATAAAATAATTCTATATATTATGGCATAACAAGTAATGTAAGTGCAAGTACTAAATTGCATTATTGTTATCATTCCCAGTTAAATATTGTTTACACAGATAAAATTTTGTAAATGTTCCTTGCTTCCACTCGTGTTTTAATGCACAAAATTGTAATAGTGTTATCATGTAATTAAGATACTAGTAAAATATTGCAATTATCCTTGGAAAACTATATATTTGTAATGCAATTTTAAAAGTGCTATTACAGTCCTGAAGTGGTAGTGCTTATTACCTCATATTAAAGATTAAATTCATTCACTTAATTGTTTGCAAATATTTTTAAAAATGTTAAATAGAGTATATTATAAATAAAAACCGCGAATTATGTATTATTGCTATTTGTAATTACTCTTTTACATGTGAATAAAAAAATTCTTTAGCATATTCATAAATAATCAAAATTGTATACTTAACTTTTATAATATGTATGATGTTTGTAAACATGCCAACATTCAAAAGCTTTTCAACACTATTTTGACATTGTACGATTACAGTAAGGAATTTATAACATTTTTTAAAAATAACTGTCTTAAATTTTTTAAAATTGAACGGTCCACCAACTGAGCTACAGGGGTATGAAGAAATTGCCGACCAATTGCTCTTCACATTGCTTTACAGAACAATATATGTGATTTATAGCTTAAAATGTAAATGCTTTACGATGCAGTATATGTGATTTATAGTATAAAGCGAAGTTAAGAACAATTTGTCGGAAATTTCTCCATAAATGTACGGCTCATTTGGTAGAGCGTTCGCCTAGAAAGCGGTAAGTCATTGATCCAGCTTGAGGAGAAAAATAGTTAATTCTTTTCCTTTAACTCTTGCCTTTAATCATGTCACCCATCTGTTTTGCAGTTGTATGAAGAAATTTTCATTTATTTAGTTATTCTTATTAGAATTAATGATAAACTCTATATCCAAATTAAAAACTTGTTTTGTGCATAATAAAGTTGACCTATAAAATTTTCTGCCATAAAATTTTTTCTGAAACTATTAATAAATATTTTGTATCTATACCTGCATATTAATATTAAAGCCTATTAATTCCTCTCTCTAAAGACTTTCGAAATTCTTAAATATTTAAATCTTTAATTATGAACAGTCTACTGAAATTACAGTTCTATTACAGCTGTACAACACTATTATCTGAACAATGAATATTAAAGTGTGTCTTAATCAACAGGATGACGATTAATAGTGCTATATAATAAAATATTTATGCTGTAGTTTACATTAGAATATAAGAAAATGATAATCACAAAATAACAAAAAAAAAACTAAAATTAACATAGGGCTTAGATTGTTTAAGAAAAATAAGATTCATTTTCAGTTTACGACAAGGATAAAACGTTGATTCTTCTTTTATACATGGAAAAATTCCATTAAATTATATCTTTATATAATTTTTATTAAGGTCACTATCATAAAAATGCTAAAAAATTACAAAAATAATATTTTTAATAAGTATTTTTTAAATAATCTAAATAGTATACAACAAAGCTAGAGGAATATTTTTTTATGAATGTTTTATGAATGCATTTCCAGAACTAAACTTATACAATATACAAAATTACGACTGGGATTAGAATATTTCTCTTACATAATGTTGACGTAGGTAATGAACAAAAAAGCCTTAACAGTACTTTCTGGATGTTTCGCTTTTTTTTGTTGTTATAAATAAGAAAAATCTTGTGTACATGCTCATATGTTCATTGTTTTTGTACAAATTTCTCATACTTTGAGAAATTAAAAAAATTTCTAAATACTTTGCAAAATTAAAAAAAATGTCTGATTTTTCAACTATCCTAATTTAATTTATGTTAATAAGGCTTGGAATTAGTTTCACTCCGCTTGTACATTTGGTAATCCATCTGTTCGTCTGCGCATTAAACCGTTCAAGATTGAAATATTAAATTTTGCGTTGCAAGTAGATCTTAGTTTTCTTTTTACTATTCAGGTAATTTAGATTTTTTTATCACTTTCAACTAAAATATAAGTCGTCTGGATGACAGGCGGGAGTGCTCGTAAGTTGTAGCTCATTAATTCATATTCTAAAATACAACGGTGGGCACCAACGTAGAAAGTGATTGATTATTTGTTGTCAAGTGAGAATAGATTATCTTTTAACTTTCGAGACACGCACTTCTGGTAGGTTTTTTACTTAAGATAATAACAATTTTGTTATCTATTTGCTTTCTAACAGCAGCTAATATTCTACATGCCACATCTCTAGTTCAGCAAAATTCTCGATTATTTAGCCAACCACGTTGAAAAACTTATTCTTTTGCTGCCATATACGAGTTAATGCCAGAAAGTTGGTAAAGAGCACAAAATTGATAAACAAAGCAAGGTAAAGCGTTTTTGCTTCTTTGTTTGACCATGTAGTTATAAATTGTTATTGTTTCTGCGGTATTTGAAAGAGTTTGAAAAGAAGATTGTAACTCACCATAAATGTTAACAGCTTCGACATTCCTCAACTCCAGTCTAATATGTCACCTCAGTCTCTACAAAGAAAACTTCGACCTGTAAGACCATGGAATGGTCCTTTATGTAAAAATTCCATCTCATTCCTAATAGCATTATTTTTCAGAAATTAAAGTATTTGCATTATGAATTTATATTTTATTAAATTTTCAAAAAATTTTTAAATAAATTAAATAAATAATAATTTTTTCTAAAATAAAGTATAAAAATACAAAAGCTTAACATACAACAATAGAAAAAAAAATATTTAAATGAAAATCTCAATTTTTATCTTCTTGTCTTTGATGTAAGAAAATCTGTATTTTCGACTTTTTCTTCTTTGGTATTATACCAACCTCGATATGGTAACGGTATTTCTGATGGTGTTTGATGCTCTAAAATATGATGATTAAGATTTCTTCTACGTCTATGATGTCCTTCATGTGCTGTAATATATTGAACATGATGACCACTTTCCTCATGTCCTCCATGAGTTAAACTTTTCAATCCAATAATGCCAGCTAACATTAATGCCATCATTGAAACACCTAATGCTTTCATTGCTAAAGCACCAATACCGCCTAAACCAAGTGCTGCCATCATTTTAGCCATCATTAATCCCATAATCATAACAGCACCCATTCCTTTATCTTTCTTTCTTGCCTCTATAATGAAAATTGAAGAAAAAAATCAAATATGCATAAATTAAATTTTGCGTGTCTTTATCAATAAAATTATATGTGGTTAAAAAATTTTTTAAATTACTTTATTTGAATACTAGCCATTTGGAAAGTTTAAATGATTTCATATAATTTTATTAAGTATATCATAAAAAGTCAGAAATGCCACGAATTAGAATACTACAATAATATTGTACTATTAATACTTTCTGCCATATTGTGTTTCATGTGTGAAAAAAGGGTGTTATAAAAATATGAATCGAAAGTTCTTTAAAGTGGAACGGTAATATCTTCTAAGTTACTTTAAATTTAGAAAAAAAAACATAATATTTAATCCTAGCATGGAAAATTTATATAGTGTTATCAAAAGCCGACATCTTTATGCTATTTTACAAAAAAAAATTGTTTCATATTGTTTGTGCCAAATATAGTCATTATTTCTTTACCTATTCCTCGATCAAATTAACTTCTATAAGGCAGAAGTAATTTAAAGTTTAAACATGGCCTAGTAATAATCAGTAAGAGGTCACATAGAAGTTTGTTTTTCAAAATATATATAAAAACAATTTATATTTGTTATTGTGTATAAGAGTATGTTCAATTCTGATGAAAATTTACGAGGATCGAGGTGAAAAATCAAGAATTTTTATTTAAGAGGCTTATGAATTCAATATATTTCTTAAATTTTGAAATAACAATGTGACAATATAGTAATTTAAATTTTTAATAATTTATATTTTAGGAGTGCCTAGCTGTTGTTAGAAATAATCATTTTCTGTATTTGCTTTTGATTTTTATTATGAATCAGTTTAGGAAAATGATTGCTTATATTATATGCACATATACAAGTATCCGAGAACAAAAATTTAACAATGATTCAAATGATTAATGCGGAAGGAGCTAGAAGAATGAGTGCTTATGCATTTCAGTATTAAGCTAATTTAAAAAATAATTGATTCTAGAACAAACCCGAATATTGAATATTTTATAATGGCATTTCTAATTATAATATTTAATTATCCTTAAGCAATTAGATTAGAAAATTATGGAAAAAGGAATAAATTCAAGTTTTCTTTTTTTACAAAATCATATTGACTAAAATTAGGCAAATTTTATAAAATAAATTATTTGAAAACATGAAAAAATCTTACCACTAATTTCTTTTCCTTCATCAAAATTTTTTAAGAAACCAATAAATGTTTCTTTAAAATCATTTTTTTCAATTAAATCGGCAAATTTAACTTTTAATTCATGACTTCTTAAATATTTATTAATTTTACCAAAAACACTATTATCATCTGTGACACCATCATCATTATTATTATTATTACTAATATTATTATCATCAATTGAATTTGATCTTCCATCAAATGTTGTTGTTTTCTTAACAATATTATGTGATGGTTTAGGTTCAACATATATAATTTCTAATCCTGGTATAATCTGTAATGGTGTATTATTATCTCGAAATGATTTTACAACACTACGTATTAAACGTGAACCATGACATAAGACACTTGATTCATTATTCTTACAGTCATTAATGAGATTATCAAGAGCTTCTGTATAATTATTATTTAAAAGAATTACACTTAATATAGAAAAGATTAAAAAATTTTTTCTTAAAAAATGCATTTTTTTAATTTTTTTTTATAATTTTTTCAATTTTGTTTTTTTTAAGTGATTCACTTGGTATTGTTTTCAATTAATAGCAAAAAAAATATAATATCCTTGTGGAAATTTATAGCCTTAAATTTTACCGGATCCGTTTTTGTTTTTCTTATTTCTCGAATTTTGATGACAAAATGCCCTTTATTTTTTTATTTTTATTTTAAAACTTGAATTCAAATCAAGGTTCAAGTACAAACTGATAGTAACATTTTGTTATTCACTAGAATTTATAGATACAATATTGTCCAAAGAAATAATAAAAATTAAAGAAGTAAATAAAAAAAAAGTACCGATAGTTGAAAAAGTACTAAAATTAACTTTTTTTTTTTCTTTTAAATTGCTCTTATTATTTACATTTTTCCTTCCTATTTTATAACTTTACTCACGGTTTGATTTAGAAAAGGAAATTAGACCGTATAAAATTAAAGGCATAAGTATATAAGAGCACAATATAATGTACATTAATATTGTGTGTACTGAGATCCAATAGCGTGTAACCATTCAAATATAGACAGGGTCTTGTATATAGTACAACATCGTAAATATATATATAAATGTATATACATACTATACATAATATAGCACTTACATGTTCATTTATTCTTGTCGTACATTACAAAAATATTATTTTGATAATGTGTAACAAAGACAGTACTAAAAATAAATGTTAATAACCAAACTAAAATAAAAAAAAAATAAGAAAATTTGAAAATTTTAACAAGTACAAAGAAAATTTTTTTTTTGTTTTTTTCAATTTTAAATAGAAAGGCGGATAAATATACACTTACTTAGTTAACAATAATCAGTAAGTGAATATGAAAAGTAAAGCGTTAACCTTTTTTCTTTCTAGAAAAATAATGAAAACTTTAAAACCGAAAAAAATATTATTCGTAAAAATCATCATGATAAAAAATTAATATTTTTCATTTAATAAAACTACATTTTAGTTAACAAAGCTATGGAAATGCTAAGCAGAATTGTATTGTACCTCCAAAAATAAGAATGATAATAAAATTTTCTTTCACACTATACATTTGTAACAATGTATATTTGTGGTTTTTGTTGTACAGACATGGACAAATTATTTTCTGTTTTATAAAAAAAAATATACCAAATTTTTAATTGTGAGAATAACATAATTCTGTTGGTAAACAAAAGATATGCAGGGTTGAATCTAAGTTTCTTAATAAAACATGAGTATAAACTCATAGTATCTATTCTTATTGGTTTAGTACAAAGGTGATCTCTAGTGAAGTTTTTTCTAATAAACGGAAATAAACTTCAATTGTAAACTCTATAACTATACGAAATTGAATGTGAACACAATATTCCCTTTGTTGTATGTGATGGGACCTTTGGTAGTAAACAAAAACTCACAAAAAACAATGCTTTTACTTCAATCGATCTTAGTCGAATTATTTAAATCTTATATACATCAGAATAATCTGTTTATAAAATTTAGTGAACTAGCTGCATAAAATTTTGAATTGTTTATAAAATTTACTTCCGGACATTCTTACCAAATTTTTATTTAAATTAGCATTTACGATTGTATAGCAATGGCAGCTACCTGAGCCTGTCAAACCAGTTCACCTTACTGCCAGGATATTCCTGAATTGCAATTGAACCAATGCCATAGCTGCCGAATTTCATGCAGCTATGGCGTTTTTATTTGTTCAAATATCTAAAATTAGCTTCTACTGTTGTTTGACATCTACGCAAAGCAGTAACTATTTCAGAGAAAATTCAGGACTAGAATTCAGCTACAAGCAGTTAGCTTTATTAGCTTTATTAGCTTATTATCAAATATTTAAAATAATGTAACCTGTTAGGTATATCCATTGTTCGAAAGCATTTTCAAAATTAGCTTCTTCATTAATTATTATTATGTTTGTGTTTTACAAAATGTTCATATGCACTTATTTGAAAATCAATGTGTTATTTGCATTAACATGCTATTAATATAATATCATTGTATATGGACCACAAAAAATCATTAGTGTAATCCAGATAATAATTAAAATATGTTTTTTGTACACAATTACCGCTTAAGTTATTTTTCTATTCCCTTGAGATATGAAAAAAAATAGCATTTCTCAAATCTTTTAATTCCTGTTATTTTGAGATTACAAGGGGACTAAACGAGGAAGTGGGCTAACAATCCCCCAAAATTTGCTCTTTCAAAAACATTTTGTTCAAAGTTCATAATGTTTGTTAGGCTGGATAATGAGAGCACACTTTATTCGACATGCATACTACCATAATTTTTTTCAAAAATCTTACATTAGTAGCCTATGTTTTCAGCAAATTTTGATGGTAATGGATAAGAATAAAATTGTAAGGATTAAGCTTTAATTATCATTATCATACAATTATGGAAACCTTTGAAATCATAAATTTTTTGAGTCTTACATGCAGAAAGCATTTCTTTAATAAAAAATGTTTTATTTTCAACATCGACAATAATTTGACCAGTACTGTTTAATACTAAATCAAATATCACAATTTCCAAGTATATTTTATTATTTTATCACTTAAATTTATTTGTTTTGCTATTTGAGCTAAGTAGTAAAATAAGTTATTGGAAATTTTGGCATTATTCTTTAATAAAAATTTTCATTACTTTCATTAAAACTTAAACATATACGAGCTCATTTATATAGAGTGTAATAAAAATTTTTTATTATGAAAAGTACGATAAACTCGTACCCTTTCTCTAATTTTTTTAAACATTTTATTTAATCCTAAATAACCTAAGTCAAATTTTCTTTTTCTTTTTTGAATAGTGAAAGAAAAAGTTCTTTTTATATATTTTCTTGTATTTATATAGCACGCTTCATGAGATATATAGGGAAAAATCATTTAATACTTTTATTATATCAGGTGTAAACACAAATATATGTATATTAATAATTACTATAGAAATATACGAGTACAAATTGTAAACTACACGTAGCTATAAGTTGACTAAGTTGATAAGTTACATTAAAAAATTTAGCGCTTACATGATCATGAAAATCATTTAAAAATTGTAATGAGAATAATAAGATGAAAATTAAAGAGAGCTAAAAATGTAATGAACTTAAAATGTAATAAAGATGTTTGTTTTAATAAAAACGACAAAAGCAAGACGAAAAAACACATTGTATTATAAAAACAACTACACTACAATTTAGTAAAAATTTTATTTATTATTAGAAAACAACTTTTCATGTATCATTGAGTTTTCCAGTTGTTTTCATTCGTATTCTCTTTATATTTTCATTTTCTTTATTTTATTTAATTAATTAAATATAAACTCGATTCGATTTTAGAACTTTTAAAAATAAATTAATTTGCACACTCAGAAAAAAAAATTAAAGAAATACTTTTCCTTCAACTTTTACTTATATTAAAGTACAGAAAAAGGGAAGGGACTAATTAGTTTCTTTAAGAATCATTAGGCCTACGCTTCCTTCCATCTGTGAAAGCTTCTTTCGAGTGATAATGATATGTTTATACCCGTACGAGCATATTATGTTCGAACGCTAGAAAATAATGGTTTATTAGGATATATGCATAAGCGTGTTTTTGGTCAGTGTCGAATTCTGAATCGATTTAACCATGTCTGTCCGTCCATCAAATTTTTATTTAATTTTAAAATGTTTATATCTCTTGAATTTTTTTGAGTGAACTTTTACTTCCATGTAATTTTACTTTTACTTCTTTCAATATTTTCCTTAATGTTATATATATATAGAAGAATTTGCCAATTAAAACAAATAAAAAATTAAATGGAAGCAATTACAAATAAATCGTAAAGAAAAGAGAAAAAACGAATTGTAGAAAACGGTATTTCTGATAAAGGAAGAAATTATGTAGAGGAAAAATTTTTTTTCTTTTCTTCATACTTACGTATACAAACAATTAAAAAATTGCATGTGATTGTTGAAAAAAAATTGTCATTTTGTTAAAATGTCGCTTTCAAGACTAATTTTATAAGAATTTCTATATGCCACAAAACTATGACACTAGCTGACACAGAAAAGCAGAAGAACAATACATGGCAAGTCTTCAATTTGAATGAAAAGTAAGTGGTCATTTCAATTTCTACCAACATAAATTTTTAATTTTCATTGTAATAAAATTGTGAAAATTTATTTGCAAATAAAAATTATTTCAGTTTTCTAATAAATTTTTTGTTATAAATTAGTAAAATAGCACATGCACTTTCATTTTATATAAGAATTTCATTAAGATTATGACAAAAATTATGTTATTATGAAAATTCAATAGAAAATGCAGAATATATATATATGTATATATATTTTTATGTTTGTTAATATTTTGTGAAAACAAATGAAAAACTCTGAATTTAATTTGAATTGCCATAAAGAAAGAAATTTCTTTACCACCATGTTTTCATTCAAAATGCAAATTATTTTATTATTGAAAAAATTTCAAATGGTTATTATGAATTTAATATCCTTATTAAACAAAATAAAAATAAATTTCGCCACCAATGCAAAATAATTTTTTTCTAATTGGATTCTTATAAACAAATTTTAATTATTCAAAATATATAAAATTTTTTTAAAATGACTATTGGAAAAAATTTAAAAAATTATAAAAGCAAAAGCTATTTCTAACACATATTTTTATTCATAGAATAATAATAACAATTGAACTAAAATAAAATTTAATAAAATCAAAAATATGGAATTTATTTTATAAAAAATTTCATTTATTACAGGAATTTTCTATTTCTATATAATGCAATATAATTCATTAAAATATTCTATAAAGAAAATAGAGAAATTTGGGTACTTAGTGGAATAATTGAAAATAATTTTAATTTACATAGATATAGGGTGAATCAGTAATAAGTACATGCAGTCGTAGCTGAAGTGCATAAAATATGAAATCAAGTAACATGTTAATTTCAAAGCACTTTTTTATTGAAGCTCCAATCAATTTTATAGCGTATAAGAAAAAACACGTGAGAAAATAAAGAAATTTAAACAAAAATTTTGTTAAAATACCTGTATCTCGCTAACCGTCGAGCTTTCACATTATCTATGCTCAGAAATATTACCCATTTTTCCGTTTCTAAACGGCTATATAAATAGTATTAGACATGGCTATATAAATAGTACAGTGGAGTCTCCGCAACTCTAACATCTGGAAAATCTTCATACCTCGAAACTATATGACTTTCCTTGATGATATTGGCATAACTTTGTTTATAAAAATTATTCTATATAACTCGAATTTGCTCAATTCGAATTTCTCCTTAACTCGAAATAAAATTCAGTTCCCATAAAAGAAAAATTATCTTTAACTCGAAAAATTTTAAAAAATTTTGCACAAAGCATATCATATTCGTACATATTTATATATACATACATGTATATTATTATATTATACATAAATGTTTATTATACTCATGTTAACACGTTATACATATAAATACGCTTGTTTAAGTTGTGGTTTAAAAATTTTATGAAGTGTTGTTTTTTAAGAAATGCTATGCTCAAATTAAAAAATATTCTTTAAAACAATGTGCCATACTTATTTAATTTGAATTTATACAACTTTTTTTTTCTCTTCAACTCGAAATCTCCATAACTCGAACTCTTTTAGCGTTCTCGTGCTAATTCGAGTTATAGAGATCCCACTGTATTTCCATTTTTAATAAGAGCAATATACTTATTATTATAACACTAACTACCTCTTCTATTATTAGTTTTACTGAAACGAGTCGGAATATCTAGTGAGTAGATCATCATATAAAGCAAATAAAAATTTTAGATTTATTTTATTCAATTTAAATTGCATTTTAAATTTTTTTTTTTTTTTTGAAAATAAAATTATATACAATTTTCTTTTTGATACGCTTTTGATTCGTATAACAAATAAAATAAATTCTTTATATGTACTTATAATTTTCTCCATTGCAGTTTTTATTGTACATTGTGGACATAAAATGTACCTGTACATATATAACTTTGTTATACCCATAAAATTGTTAAAGTGAAGTGTTATAAAATTTTCTTTGTATAAGTAAAATTTAATTGTTATACGTTGCTAGCAAATTATTATTGCAATATCTAGAGTTGATTGATAACTTCATTATTGTATGTTCAGTAATTTAATAATGCTATAAAATTGTATTGTTGTTAGTAAAATGATCGAAAACCTATTATTATTTGAAGAAGTAGAGAATAAAATAAATTGGTTCGAAATATTAATGTAGAAAAGAATTATAAATTTTTCAAAATTTACTTGTATTGTAATTTGTATTGAATTTGTATTTTTGTGCAACAAAAAAAATATTAGAGTTGAAAACTTTTTTTTAAATATGTTAGTTTTTCTTTTTGTAAAAGGAAAACTTTTTTTCAAATTATTAAATAAGATTATATACAATTTTTAATTATGTAAAGTAGATCAATGAGTTCACATTTTAGTTTACTTAAACTTATTGTCAAAGAATTTCTGTAAATTTCTACACATATAATTCAATTCCAGTAATTAA